CTCTCTCTCTCTCTCTCTCTCTCTCTCTCTCTCTCTCTCTCTCTCTCTCTCTCTCTCTCTCTCTCCTGGCCGTTCTGGCCGCCACGATACATTACACCGGCAACGCGAGTCCTTTGTGAGGGTAATCCAGCCGCGGTGTCAGTCGGCCGAAAAGTGTGTCGACCGCTTTTGCCAATCCTTAAGTACGCAAAAATATTCCTTGCTTTTTTCTTCAACGCGTTATCGGTGCAATTATCGATACGCATCTGTTCGTTCACTGAACTTATAAGCGAAGAGACTTATATACAACTTTCCAATGTACTCTCATCATACTTGAATTACACATTAAATTCCGAATTAAGATGTGACATATTCTCTTTCTTCCTTCGCTTGTTTTTCCTGTAAAATAACATTTGTGAATTAATAATGTTTGCCCTGTTTGGTTACCTTGAAAACGTTGCTAACAGTTTATCGCTCGATCGAGAGTCTTGATTGTGTCTCTAGATCGAAACTTACTTAGTTCGATGTATTTAAAATTAATTATTATATATTCCGCTATCAATCACGTCTAGTTGCCGTAGCAACGTAGCATCCTTTGCCATATCATTCCGGTTTCTCGATAGGACGAGTGCGCGCGGCGAATAAATACTATACCGAATTCGCGAAAGCACGCCTTCCCGAGAAAACATCGTCGACACCTTTCCCGGCCAAATGAAACGAAAACATGTAACGCGAATGACGGAGCGGAACATAAAATCATCGCTCATCCGCGCGTCAGGTCGGTTCTCGTAATCAGTCAACTTCGTGCTTTGTTTAACATTGTCTTCACCTAAAACGACGTGTATTGTCGGCTTATTTTATATGCATTATTTTCATCATCTTTTCGTGTAATCATAATATTATTTCGTAATTTTATATTTTATATTTATAATTTTTAATATTATTATACTTAAAATATTGTGTTACATAATTTTATGTTTTTTTTTTGGTATTATTTTATAATTATTTTATAATGATTTTAATAAAGTCCCAGCAACAAGGTTGTATTGTTTTTCCGTTCACGACCGCGACATAAAATGATTCTTTTTTCGCATTTATTTTTCCTCGTCGAGCTGAGAGGACACCGAAATATTCGACAGGCTCATAATGCGTGGAATGAAGCGACGCAATCCGCACGACGATCTTGGCCCGTGTGAAAGGATACCCGCAGGAATTTCCAAAGGACGCACGACGCCTAAGCTTTCAGTGCGCGCGTGGCGCGCGTCGGGACGCCGCTCCTTTTATTTTCCTTCAATTTCCTTCCTTTCAGGTTTCCCATCAGCCTTTCCATTAATATTAAAACAGGAGCGTAGCCTCGCGAGGGCTGTTTCAAAGAGGGTGGCGGCGGTGTGTTTCAAGCCGCGCACGGGTATCCTGTAGAGGTACCGACCGGCAAGGATGAGGGGTGGGAGTTGAAGGACCACGATGAGGAAAGGCTAAGGGGCGTTCGGCTCGTTTTTCATCTTGATCTTCTAGAGTTACCAATTTGAACCCGCTAGACATATCATCTCGCCCCGCTGCCTCGACTCTTAATCTCACCTCGCGTGGATACGTATGTGCTCATATTTAAACATAACTTTGTCAGAACGATCTTTGCAAACATCGTGTAGAGCATTGTTTTTTTTTCTTCGACGGAAATTAATACCACGGTATAAAATAATTGCACCAATGTATTCTCGAATCGACCGAAGGAGCTTCGACAAGGACATTCGTGGGAAAGCCTTCGGTTCTTGGATGGTAGCTCGCGATTATTTATCGTGACCTGACCCTTTCTTACGCAACCCTCGCCGCGGGCTACCCTTCAGGGTCGGCCAACGGTCAGCGAACCCCCGTTTCGGCATTATGGGAACCGGTTTTTCGAATGCGCGCGTACGGCTGCAACTTTTCCGGAGAATTTTTATCGCGAACCCGTTCGACCGGTCAACCAAACGTGTGTCCAGGTGGTCACTTCCTGGCCACCCCAGTTTGGGTCATTCTTAAAGCCCCCCCCTTCTCCCCCCGCTTCCCCCTCGCTGCTTCTTAATTCCGCGGCACGATTTGCGAGGACGCAAATGTGCTTCGTTCAATCCCGCGTCACGTTCCAATTGCTGCCTTTACGGCGAATTTTTAACGAGCTTTAAAAATCTTTCTAACGACGGTCGCAAACGAGTTAATAATCTTTCTCTTTTTCTTTTGTTGCAGATAAATGAAGTCATGTACAATAATATGCACTGAATGTACAGATCGCCTTTCCAGATATTGACACAAGTAAGTGCAACGTAAAAATAATGAAATAATCTAAATATTAATCATATGATCAAAACATTACACACTCCTAAAATTTATGACTATACTCGGAAAGATAAAAGAATAGCGTAAGCTGAATTTTAAGTAGCTGGATCTGATGAATTTCGTACGAAAGTACTTTCCAGCTCGTATAATTAATTTCATAAATAATATCAACTGATTTTCCAACGTAATTCACTGTATTATTAAGGCGGAAAATACTTGGAAAAATACTTGGTCGCATTAATGCGAGTCAAAATATTCAACCTCTGATTTTTGGAGCAACATTTCACTTCATCTGTAATTAACTGAGTTTATCGAGCTTCTAAATCGAAACGTATATGGATAAATATGCAGCCGCGGCGGATATCCATGGCATAATACGAGCGGTTGATTTTATGGGTAATATATATGAGAGCGGGAAGTTCGGTAATTAATGGCTTTTATTCGAGAGAGCGGCGAACGAGTGAAATAAACTCGGTCGCAAGTAATTCGAACGTCATGCTCGGTCTATATAAAGCTTTATAAAATCTCTCTTTGCTCGATAGTTTTTGCGATGAGGTTTATCAAATATCCCGCGGCCTAATGGTTATATTTTTGCCGCGATCCACGTATTTTTGCACTATCGCAATTACTAATCGTCGAGGCATTCTCCGATTCGATGAAATGACACAGTTGAAACTCGCGAATATACTTTAATTACGATTTATACCCGCGCCGGAATTTTCCACCGCGGAGAATTAACGTTCCGCGCTGCCATTAATCTTGATACTCGGCCGCAATGTCCGCCGCTTTTTGTCGTGCCCGAAACTAATGCGCGCGATTTCACGTCTGACAAGACGTTGAGAAGGTTAGCTCGCCTCTTCAGTGTTTTACATTTGCATTCGATGGCAAGCCGCGCGGGGCGGCGGGAGAGACGAGGACGGCGGGTGGCGGCGGAGAAGGGCGAGGTGGATGGGGGGTGATGTTTTGTAAGATCTGCTCGAGAGACCATTCGTCTTAGTATCTGCCTCGGGGGGCGGTGAAATATAAGCTAGATCTACGAGAAAGATAAATGAATCCATCCTCCCGCCTCCCGCCGCCTTCCGACCGCCCGTCTTCCACCCTCACCTACCTTCCACCCTGCCGACGCTACCCTCTCGCACGACGAGAGAAAACCACCCGGGACAAGAGTATCGTTCTCGCGGCTCGCTCCTTCTCTCTCTTTCTTTCAGGGGACACATAAAAAGGGGTACGCCTCGATTACGCCGATTATGACGATTTATCCGCCGTAGCGCGTGCGCCATTTGCGGGATGACACCGCGAGTCGCGCAATTAATCATCCCAAATTACGGTGATCGTACGAGGAACGTGCAATAATACAACGTGAAGAGAGATAAATCGCGAGGGAAGAAGGACGAACGAGCCGAGCGAACGAGACGAGCGTTTCTGAAAGTAGGCCGACAGGTGGAGGAGGCGAAACGGTGCGCAAGGTGCGTAAAAAGCGGCGCAACCGCAGAGAATGAGATTCGTAGGGACTGTGGACGACAGAGGAGGAAAAGGGGGAAAAAAAGAAGGAGCGGAGGAAGAAACGATTCCGGCAGCGAGGAGAAGAAGCGACGGCTCCGCGTCTGGCGGCGTCTGCGAAGTCGGCGCCCGCCCTCTCTTTCTCCTCCGCCGGATAAGCATCGCTTTGCATACGATCGCCATTTTGCGGGGAGCATAATTTAAATTTCGTTCCATTGTTTTGTCGCTCTTCTTACCCCCCTCTTGGCCCACCCTCGGAGCGCCGGAGTTTCGAGTCGCCGGCTCCGGGGGCCACCCTCGCCCCACCTTCGTCACGCAACCCTTCGTGCACCACCGCGCCGTGCCTTCGTGCAACCCCCTTCTTCGTGCCACTGCCGCACCGTCAACGGCGCGGTGGTGTTGCCGTACCCCGGCAGCGGCGGCGGCGGCGGCGGCCATTTGCATGAAATTAGAATCAGAATTTTCTTGCCGGAAAATTGGCCCCTCGCCGCCCAGCCATCTCGGCCGTGACTGCGAAAATTTTAATTAATTCGCTGCCACCAAGCGACGCCGCGGCGCTCGAGATTTAGGCCCCATTCGTAACATCTGAGAGACCAATCCGATTGTATCGCGCAATCTTGATAAAGCGATGCAATTGCTCCGTGTTTAAATATACATGATTTACATGCTGTTTCTTAAACGCATGTTTTCTGCGAAGAAATTGGATTCTAAAATATTTTCAAGTAGATTGTTTCAAAACAATGTTAAATTACGTATATGTTCTTCTTAATATTTTATTATGTAATGTAATTAATCTTATCTTGCTTGGATTATCTGTGCATTTAGATTAAAATCCGACCAATCTTTTTTTATGTATAATTCCGAATACTTGCATTCAATGACACGATAAATTGTATTAATCGCGAACGCCCGACGACGTTACATCCAAACGTCAATGCGAATCTGATTCTAATTACAAGCTCTCGACGTGCGGCGGCGTTTCGTCCGGAAATCTTCAAAGCGACGCCTCGATCGCAGTTTCTATTAATCCGATTTGTTAATTTTAAACGCGCGGCATAATTACATCGCAACCGGCGATACTCACGGTGCCGGCTGTAAGTATTTCACCGTCGTATTAAAGCTCGTAAGCTCGTTATCTCCCGCGAAAGGCACGATAGACCCTTGACTCTCCAGCGAGAGGCGATGCATGGCACCGCCGTAGGAGAGGACCCGCGTAGCATTTCATAGCGTTTAGCCTTTATGGCGTGCGGTTCTCTGCAGCCATCTCTCGAGGTAGGTAGCTCGTCGTCGTCGTCGTCGTCGTCGTCGTCGTTTCCCCGCGACCACCCCCGCACCAGTCTCTTCAGCCTCGGGCTTCTCTCGCAAGCTCGACGCCCGCGCTACGGCGCTACGCCGCCGGGAACAATGGACCGAAATAAATAGCCCGTCTTTCGTCTTTTGTTTCTTGGGGGCCCATTGTTACCGCCGTAGATAAGAAAACAAGAGACTCTGTCGCCGTGTTTACGAGCCCCGGCCCCGGGGCTCTCCTGGATGCTGCGGCCCCCTTTTTGCCTCGTTCTCGACGCCACACACCGCCACCTCCGGCCTCCATCACCGCCGCCGCGATACCGCCGCCACCGTCGCAGCCTCCGCTGTCACCTTCCACCCACACATATACACGCGTCGCGCCGCGTCTTCCTCCTTCGCAAGCCGCGCGCGCGTCCTCTCTCTTCCTTTTCGTCTTTCGTAATCCCTCTTCGCGCGTCGCGCGACGTTCTTCAAGATCCGGCTGACACTACGCCGGCGTCGCCGCTTCATTCCACCTGTCTACCAGACACCGTAAAACTGCACGAGACTCGTGGATTTAGGGTATCGCGACTGAATAAATTGTCGCGACGTCCGTTGCGACTGAATTGGATACGGTCCATCTGGCTGTGCGTTTGAAGTGTCTAAAAGTGACATAGACATTTCTTCGTTCATTGTCTGATTAACTTAAAAAATCAATAGCATGTTTCTTTTCTTTCGCAGAGAAAAGATGGCAAATCTTGAAACTCAAGAAATTGTATATATAAATTCTCTCTACTTGATTCGTAAAATTATAAGAATTCTATTCGAATCTTTCTTTGAATGGACATTTCGCTTGAATGAAAGATTGTAGATAAAACGTACCAATGATAGTGGAACGATGAACCAAAAATCCAAATTAGTTACAATTTGCCGCGAGCGCATTAATGAAATGAAACTTTCCAGAATTACATCTAACATAATTACGTTCTATAAAACAGAAATTCCTCAATTAAATAATTTTCTCAATTCCGGATCGGAATAGCCGGCATTCCGCGCACACGATCACTGGTAATTTCGTTTGACGGCGAAAGATTCGCGGAGCGCACTTTTAATTGAACGTGTATTATTACCTTTTCATCGTGTCAATCGCGTTACTCGCAGACTAACGTCGAAGGCTTGACGGCCCGACTCGTTCTGTCGCACTCGCATTCCCGATCGCCATGGCTGCGCACTCACGCTCGAGGGCCGCCAGCCTCCAGTCTTTTATTTCGGCGCAACAATAGAAAAGAATCAGTGTCGTAGAGCGGTTTAACAACGACACTGCGAGCTAGGGGTATTCACCAACGTCCTGAGCCGGCGTTGTGTCGGGGCCCGTACACACGCACCCCTGGACACGCTGGACATCGGACAGCCGTGGTCCCGTTGGCCGGGGGAGCCTAATTTCGAAAACGGTAAACTGGTTTGTCCAGTTTCCACCTTTATTCGCTCCTTCGGCCTTCCTTCCTTTCGCGCACGTAGGGTCGCCGTACAGCCGACTGGACCCAAAAAGTACGAGCGGCCGGGGGGCTCGCAGTGGCGGTCACTTTTTCGCCCGGGGTCCAGTCGGTCAGTTTCTATTGGACACGCGACACTGGTCACAGTTATTCGCGATTTTGCGCGACGATCGGTCGGTCGCGTCGCGAACAGTGCGATTCGTTCGGATTTTTTGCGATTTTGCGAAGGAATGTTCCTCGTGACGTCGACGTGTGATACTGTTGCGAATGTTACCGTGAAATTCGCGTGTAATTAGTGCTTTAATAACGCAGAAAATTCCAATTTAATCACTGATTTTTTTCCACCAAAATAAATCAAAATAATTTTCGAGGAGATAACGACCAGAAAAATGAAAGAAAAAAAAATATTATTATTAAGGAAGATATTGAAGATATTCGAGCAATCTTCACTCAAACAGTTGCTTGTTCTCCGAGACGGAAGGAAGCTGCGAAGGAAGTCAAAGTTTGGTGGAATCCTGCGACAGAGACAAAAAGGGGTTCTTGAAGTTTCTTCCTGACCCCTCGATCTCCATCCGCGCGCCCTCGCGATTCTCTCACTTTCCCCGGGGCTTCTCCCGTTCCGAGGAACTCGGTGTAATTCAAATTCGGTTAATTTCGGTGATTTTTCAAAGTTTCATTAGACACCGCCGAGCGGCAGAAGGGGGCGGGAGGGATGAA